GTAAGGAAGTGTACAAAGCAAATCAATCTCTCCATTAAAGAACATTGACAATAACAATACATATACTCGTGTATCAATGTATATTGAAAAGAAAACTTTCAACACGATCACACTTCTAAAAATTCTAAAAAAGATACAAAACAAAGTGCTGAACACAAAATAAAACCAATCAGTGGTACCTACATTGCACATTGCGCAAGTGTAGAAAGATGAAATGAAGAGTCAGTCAAAAAAGCGCAAACGATTGACACAACAAGAGAGAAAATTCAGGAAACGAAGATGGAGATAAGTCACGGAAAGCCTATAAATCACTGGGATAAAAGGTGAAGGGTGAGAAATTCTTAAGAACATCGAGTGTGAAGCGCAGCAGCATGATGACTCAAAGTAAAAGGAGCAGCCTTCTTACGTTATAACGACAGTAGCGACGCTATCATCTTACTAATTATGTAGCGGTCATTCCTCGCACCTAAATCATTGTACACTAAAGATTAGAAGCCAAGAGACACAATTGTCAAACAAACTACCGAAAAAGTGAAGCGGTAAGGATGAAACACAAAGGGAAATCCTGTGATTGGTGAATACAAATGAAAAGTGGTGAAGTGAAATATCATTTCTAAAAGAAACGGACCTGTCCACTTCTCCGTTGCTCCTCCAACTCCTTTTGGGCTTTCGCTTCAATGGCACGGATATCCGCCATTGTTAAGCCATACCAGTTATCTATCCAACAGAACACTTCGCGATGGAACTTTGAGAACAAACGCGGATATTGCTGAGAACATTGATAATAGATGGCCCTATGTGAGAACCAATTCCGAATGAGAAATTCGACTTACCGTGTGTGTGTAGCTCTCCACCATTTTCTGCAGTCCAAACCATTTGAAGTGCACAGTGACAAGCTTGTATGCACACATGACAGGATCGACGGATTCCATCCAGCCTTCAGTCAAGGGACCGCTAAAAGTTTCAAATGTATATGCGTTTGTCTAAATGACTTGCTTCCTTTTTTCCTTTTTTTGACAAAAAGAAGCACTTTAAAGAAGCCAACCAAACGAGAAAAACATGAGACAAAATTTCAAAACTCAAAATCTCAAATTGATTACTAATCTTACGGATCGAAATGCCTTCTCCAGTATATTCTCGAAAATGTCGCCATTGAGAAATTGATATAAATTGTTTCATGGTATTAGAACCGGGTGTATTGTAA